TCACTATGGAAAGGGAAGGTCGTAGGACATTTCAAAGGAAGATTTTTAGACAAAAGATCCTTAATCATCTACAATGGAAATATGTTTTGTTAATATTTATTACAAGTGCACAGCACACCAAGAGTGACATCCAACAACTCACCAGAGAAAGACCCAACAATTCCATTTCTATGCATGTTAATTACCTACATCAAGGATACGTGCTGAGTCAGGACCACCTTGCTCTTAAATTCACACACACACACACACACACACACACACACACACACACAAATGGAATCAGTGTGCTGCCTGGTTTGAACCATAAAAATGCACCTCATTAAAAATTTGGTGAGCAGAATGAAAAGCAAAAATCGCTTGCTCTTAATCCAGCGTTCCATTCCTCTAGATCATGAAACACACAACTGGGGCACAACAAAAACCTGTCAAGATTGTTCCCCACAGTCGAGCTGCCTAATTACGAGAACCGTATCCCTAACTATCCGAGAACAAGTGCAATCTGTCACTGGAACATTCAGAGGCGACACACGCTAATTAGTGTCTGTCAGCTGTATCCCATTTGTCTCATGATGGAGGTGGCCTTCGGGGCTGCCTGGTGCATACGCATTCCACATGTAAAATTTCAGGGGGCCCTACCACCCCTTTCCTCCACGTGGCCCAGGTTCCAGGTTCCAAACGCCTGCTCTGTGTTTAAGAGATGCCTAACATGAAAATTCCTAACATGAAAGCGTATATATACATTGTTAATAAAAACTGGGTCCATATTAATATTCATTATTAACACGCAGATCCAAGCTATTCACCGTGAACTGTCCCTCTCACCCCACAGAGAATCGTGCTGTGCCCTAAAGTACGGACGAGTTGACAAATTAATTGCAAAGGGTCAAATACATATTTTAGGTTTTACAGGACACACCATGTCTGGTGCAAAGATTGGACTCTGGCACAGTGGTGTGAAGGCGCCACAGACAAAAATGTACATGCAAGCACGTGTTGTTCCAGTAAAAACAGGCGCCAGGTGGGGACTAGACTTATGGGAGCAGAGGGAGGGATCACTGCCTAAATTATATAAATGCCTAACCACTATGCTGTACACCTGAAATTAATATATTAAAGGTAAACTATAGGTTAAAAAAATACCACGGGTGCCAAAAAATGTACAAGTGGACACTTTGGTCAACGTTGCCCAAGCAGCAGTTCGCCGTCATCAAAAGTGTCTGGACGCTGATGGGAACCACTTTGAGCACCTCTTGTCATTGCAGACGTCACACGAGACTTGTATTCATCTTTTGTTATCGGTATATATTGAGTATTACAATTTGAATAGTTTTTTCCTTTCTTAAAATGTGTATACATTGTTTTTTGGCACTCTCTGTATATAGTCACAGCATCGGGAATACAGTCACTAATATTATAATAACCATGTTTAGTGTCACATGGGTAGCAGACTTGTTGGGGTGATCACTTTGTGAGGGGTGTAAATGTCTAATCACTATGTTGTTTTGTACACCTGAAACTAATAACTTTAAAATTTTAAATTTTAAAAAAGCATAAAAAAAACAAAAACAGGTGACTCGCCCACAAGCCACAGCTGGCTCACCTTACACTAGGATGCATTATGGTTTTTTACTCAGAGTTTACTTATGTCCTCCAGAGATTAAACAAAATTATGCATATAACTTATAAAAGTGTAAGGTCCTCTATGGAACTAGATACACTTGATCTTTTTTTTTTCCACTCTGAAATATATCCTTTAGGCAGAAAATCGGTATTCAACTAGAAACAAATAGCCAGTATAGTATTGGTACAAGCACAAGATTATGGGCTTGGAGAATGCTTGAAAAGAAAAAGGCCAAGGAGGCCGAGGAACAAATTACTTATATTTTTATTTTTCTCTGTGTATTGCATATATATTTTAATTTTTTATAATCACATGTATACATTGTTATAGTTAAGTCTCTATCTCAGTTGCTGCACTAAACTGATTAACATACCTACCCTTGTGTCCCTCTGAATCACCAAAGGTTTAAGGAAAGGTTCATTTGGATAATGTCTTGGAAACTAAGGGGGAGTATAAACAAAGCATCTCCGTGTTCAAGGTTCTGAGGCCCTAGGAGAAGGCTGACCACCATTCTCCAACATCCAGTTAATTCACTTCCGTATCATACTTCCCGATTTCTGGTTCATCCCTTGATCCGTCCACTTGGAAATGAAAAATGACGGTGTCAGGGGGGCCATGAAAGGAAGTTTTCTCGGCTATCAGTTTTGAATTGAATTAAGCCATCCTTGGAATACAATAATGGAATTTCTAACATCAGTTCCCCCAGACCATCCCAGACAACTATAAAAATCCACTGCACAAAATGTCCTTTGAACAGGTGGCCCCAAACCAGAAAGTGTTCAAGCAACCCCTGTAGCGAAAATGTGATGAAATGGGGCTCAGTTGAAATGTTCAAGTATTAAATAGGCTTCATGAATTCTTCATATTTCCTAGTCAGCTAGATTCCTCACAGTGAAAAAGAAATGAATGCATGCCTCTCCATTCTTTAACATATCAGAAGCCTGGTCATCAAAAACGAGCTACTTAGCAGCAGACCTGGATTACAACAAAAATGCCCCAGTTCACAGATCCCTGTGTCTTTCCACTAAACTGGGCTCCACTCGTAAGTGACAACCACTGCGATTCATGTCTTGAGAATACTGGGGAAGCAAGTATTTCACCAACCGTTTTGCATCCAGCCAAGCCATCCTGGGGACACAATACGGGAATCCCCAACCTAGGATTGCCTCTCATCAATGGCCACCCCTGAAGTTTCACCCCAAAGCCTCACCCTCCTTGGAGAGGCAGTGAGACTCTTGAACGCTCTGAGACCGGCCAGTGGTTTTCCCAATGCAGATTGAGCCTAAATGCATATGGTAAAGACACTAAGACGTCTTTCGAGATCCGGCTGTTCTCATTTGCCTCCCCTGGCGGTGCACTCTCTGTAATGTTCCCTTTGGGCTTCGTAATGGGAGCTGTCATATTCTGAGCGCTGACTCCTCCACAGCTCTCAGCCTGATGGGCAGACCGATTAAGGCCGCTTCTCCTTGGAACTAGGGCAGCCTGATTACATGAAACGGAGGGCTGCGTGCGCTGTGGCTACTGAAATGATTACAACCAACTGAGCTGCACCACCGCATTGCTGTTCCAAAGGCTGGGTAGGCGAGAAGGAAGATGAATGCTTCTAAGACTTCATGCCTCGGGCATATGTATTTATGCTCCTCCACACGGAGAAAAAACAATGAAAAATTTAAACAAAAGAAAACCTGGCGCAAGGTTCATAAAACAAAGATATTGACGTGATGTGCTGACATTGGTTCTTTAGCTGTATGTGCTGATGAGAAGAAACATGTGTGTATATTGAAGACCTTTGATGAAATAGATCTAAAAGTAATAGTTATTTTTAAAATAGCAAACCGTTGATCATTTGTCTTCCGAACTATGACTACCTTCCAAATTTGCATGTGAACGGCAAAAATGAGGATAGCATTCGTCTTTGTTAATTACAAATCATGTGGCTTTTTAAAAACAAAACAAAACAACTAGCATTTCTTTTGTGAGAGCCAGTATGGAGAAGAGTTTGGAAATGAAATTTGTTGAAAACACGAGTTTAATAATGAGCATGGCCTTGTCCATCTTCTAGAAAAGCTACAGAAATTTGTTACAGATACGGACATTATGTGATCTGCTGTAAAGAGATGCTCAAAAGCCATCTGTGGTCTAACTGTTGACAAATGTTTGGAAGCGATGGCACTCAAATTGATGAGAAACTTGATAAACACCCAACTTTCCATATAATCATAAATACTACCTCAGCAGAGCGTGAAGTGACACCTGAGTCACTGACTGTGAACCTAATAAAACACATCCTTTCACAAGTTTAAGCATGGGGTAGAAAAGCCCAGATTGGGATTTGTAACATTATCTTCATTAACTTGTGCCCACGACCACAGATCATAAAAGTATCCTTTCTACCCATTTTCCCTTCCTGTGGCCTCATTGGCCATCAGCCTGCACTTAGAAACACGTCTGACATGTTGGGTTCTCAGGCAGGGTCTGCAAACAAAAACGGTGCAAGGACATGCTAAGGTCATTCAAACGCCCAGTAGCTTGGCATGTTGAGAATAGTGTGCTTCCCGCGGCCAATGGGTCCAAGGGTGAATTTCGCTGGAGTTTACATTGGTGGGTCAGAGAGCTGACTAATTTATAAGATATCCTCTTCCTGGCCGACCGAGTGGCACGTTGGTTAGGAGTTGGCTTGAGACACCAGCTCTGAGCAGCAGAGCCCCAGTTCGGATCCCACATGAGGGCCAGTGACACTGCCCTCTACAGCTAAGATGGTGAACAACAGCTCAACCTGGAGCTGGGCTGCCGTGAGTCGCCGGAGATGGCGTAGGCTGCACTGGGGCTGCAGTGGGCTGCTGTGAGCTACCGTGAGTGGCTGGCAGCGGGCGTGAGCTGCCGAGAGCCACCATGAGCGGCCGTCCAGAAGCTATCAAGCAACTGCCTCACCCGGGAAGAGCGCAATGATAATACCAACATGGGCCAGTGAAGCAACGTCCTGCACAGCTAGACTGAAGAACAAAAGGACAGCAACTTGTCTGTTTCCCTTCCCCTAATTCCCCAATGCTGTTCCCATCCCCCATTTCCCCAATAAAATCTTTTTTTAAAAAGTAAAAAAAAAAAAAAGAAAAAAGAAAAGATATACTCTTCCTTGTGGCTCTTTGACGGGACAAACAATTCTTACCCAATCTTAAATTTCCAATGCATGCCATTACATGCACTCCAACTACACGTCAAACACCATGTGGTGCTTTCGTTCATTTCCAGTACATGTTTAAAAAGAACACGATTTTCACCACCAGGGTCATCTGAAAGCATTGCTAGATGGCCGTAAGCAGGCTGTAAATACAGCCATAACCTAAGTCAGCAGAGGTCAAGACTTATCCTGGATACTCACCATTATATTGTCCTTCTACGAAGACGCCTTTAAAAATGTCTCCATGGAAATCTGCCGGGTTTCTTTTCCATCTCAGCACATTTTTCCCTATGAAAATAAGAAAGGAAGACATTGCTCCATGCAGTAAAAGACATGCTGGATGCTTCAAAAACTGCTATTACATTCCTTACAAGCTTTCTTTGGGGTACGTACAAGAACCAGGTAGTGGCAGTAACATAAAGTAATTCTTACTTAAGTGGTTCCCTAATAATTCAAGCAACCAATCAAAAGAGAGAACGCCTACACAGACAAGGCTAATTCTATTACCTTTGAGTCCCTACACCATCTGCGAATTCAGAATAAATGGAGACAGCTTGAGGTTACCAATGTACATCTTAGCTGTATCACTTGGAGCACCGTTACATTTTTGTTAAATAATCCATTTCGTGCATGTCTTGGTTAGATCTAGCTTATTTAAAGAAAGCATTTAAACTCCTTGCAAAATGTAATGTGTGAAAACAGCCAATCCACGTTTTATAAACTGTTGATTTGCAAGAACTAACCCTGAGCCTGCAGAGTTTGTTTGTTTGTACAACTCTGCCCTGTTCTCTTGGCTCTCCTATGACGAAACTTGTCTCTCTTCGGTCAGTAATTATCTGATGACCATTTGGCACTTTTACTTGTCATCTCACCATGGTGTCTCCTCTTTAAAGAGTGACCTGCCCACCACCCCCACTTGTTTTGCTTACAAGCGAAAGTCGTCACAAGGCAAGTGGCTACTGTGAGACATTGGGCAGGGTCCCATCTTGTCTTTGACACTCGCCATGCTCCATCTCCAGGGAAGGAGAGTAAGCAGACAAAGAGAAAAAAGAGTTCTCGCTGGAAAGATCTCTGCTCATCGATACTGATTCTGTCTGGGAGGACCGTCCTCAAAGCTGGTGGTGTCTACACCACGCAGGTTTCCGCCCATCATGCTGGACCCCTCCACAGCTCCAGTTTCTCTCATGTTGAGTACTGGCTATCCTCAACACACATGGTACTACGCTTCCTGCTAGGCAAGGTGAAGTGTATCCTACATATGTTTTCATTGCTTCTTGGACGCTAAGGCTTTGTGCGTGAACTCACAGCACTACATTCTTGCAGACAGCTGTTTGTATTAGCAACCCACCCTCCATCCCTGTAAGGAAGGGAGGGGCCCTTTCTTGCCTCCCCGGTATACTATTTTGGTGCTAACAGTTCTTATCAAGAGGGAATTCAGATCAATGCTCCTCCACTCAAATTATGCCAGCATTTTACTCTTGTGTTTTTCTGCTACATGAGTCATTGTTGTCTGGGATGCAGTAAGCCCTACTCCACGTGCTTAAAGCTAAATTATAAGATACAGTCATGGGGTTAATACGATATTTCAAAGGTTGAAGAATAAATTCTCTAGATTAAAACACTTCTGGGTTTTCCTATTAAATTTGGGCTGGATGAATTATTCTAGAAAGCCTTGAGACAGATGAGTATGACTACAAAGCCTATCATTTTGAAATTAACGCAAAATTACACCTTGTAATCTGTTTTCCCATACAACTGTACCCTATCAATATCATCTGTAAAGACTTGCTCTATACTTAAGATATGATTCAGCGACAAAAGCTTCTTTTAAAAACAAATATCACCTGTGATGATTTGATATTAAATAGTCGAGACAAACCTATACTTATGAATGACTAACATATGAGCAAACGTTGACTGTGAAAACCGTATGGCATTGAATGGAATCTTGGCATACAGAGAATACATTAGTCAAAGCATACAGACCTTCGGAGCAATATCAGACGTGGAAGCTAAGACTGATATAGTCCACACTATGATAAGGTTTCAAGTAAGCCTCTCCATATAATGTCATCTTTACAACTGATGATTTGGGGGTTCATCGAGACCTTCAGAGCCATTCCAATTCGTCCTACTTAGTAGGTCAAAAAGATACCTAGAACATAAGCCATAAAGATATATAAATATTTTCATAAATGATGACATTGATGGAGCTCTGACTTTTCGATATGGCACTATTACGATTTTATTGCCAATGAATATTGTCTTGAGGGCCTATGTAATCTCATTTCATGAGTGTTTGCTGAGCACAGACCTTGAATGAGATAGGACAGAAAGGGATTGCCGAGGACGAATGTGACACAACCCCTGCCTTGGAGGGTCTTGTGTCTTTGTGGGAATCAGAGCAAATACTTATATGTAATTGCACAAGCCCCCCTATCAGTGATAAGGGGACACGGTGATATGCTCGGAGACATGATAGCTCTGAGAATGGCTTAGCAAATTTCCTCAAAGTATATTCTGAAAGGAGAGGAAGACAAGACCCACAGTTGTCAAAAGTATCGCCTATGGAAACATGAGGTGGAAACTACACCAGGCTCTCCAGGGTCCTCAAGAATTCTGCACAATGATGACAGTTAAGAGTCCCCAAGGTTTTAACATCACCCATCACTAATGTCTGCATGTCGAGTTGAACAAACACACACAGAAAGAGGACAACATAAACTTATTTTTAAAACCTAAAGATATTCCAGAGGTATTTTCAAGTAAAAAAAAAACCCCACAAAAAGATAAAACCCTAAGATCATCCATCATGTATTTTGCTTCCTTTTGAATCACAGTGACCTGCTAAATTCCTAAAAGAAAAATGGGATGAATGAGTTTAATTTTGGTAGATTTTCTTGAGTAGCTAAAAAAAAAAAGTCATGCTCAGATAAGAAAATGACTTATCTCTAGGTTGCAGTGAGGTCATTTGGATATGTCTAAAGGCATATATAAATGCTGAAAATAACAGAAATGACCTTAATTTTCACCCATATTTATCTAACCCAAATTTTGTCTCCCATCTCTCAAAAGAACACTCTCCCAGACTATATCCATCGTTTAAAAGATACATATTTAATAAAACATCTGTTTCTGTCTTGGATTTATTCCCGATTATTGTATGCAATGCTCAAATTGTTTAATTTTAGCATTATGAAGTCAAGGGGAAAAAAAAACAAAGAGAAAAATTCCAATGTAGAATTTAAGAAGAGCAACTTGAAATACACATGATCAATTTTACACAATACTACACCTCCCAAATCACGCCACAATTCTGATGACCTCTGAAGAAATTCATTTCTTGTCCACATGGCTAATTTAGACCCAAATCTTCACAACAATATTTAAAAAGCACAAAGAGTCAACCATCCAGGAAGCAGCAGAAATAAACAGCAATGCACACAGCAAGTTTATAGCTTTAATTTAAGACTCTAAATGATTAAGCTCCAAAACCGTTAACATTCCTAAAATGTATTGCTCCAATTTCTTAGCATTGGACTAGAATGGGAAATTTGACAAAGATTTTCCATAACTCTTGTCTTTAAAAAAAAAAAAGGAAAAAAAATTGTAAAAACTCTAGGGGCATGAATACCGGCAAAGGAGATTTTAAAAGATAAATAGGCATTTAGCACTAAATCACATAAGTATATTGAATAATCCATACATTGTCAGTAAATCATGCCAGTTTATAAATACCAAACTGAACCACCAAGGAAAATCCATCTTCCCTTAGGTGAAAGTCAAACTTCCTCCTACAACAAATTGCTTTAATGATCAAAGGTGCTCTTCCCGCACAGCCTCCCTGGCTCGGCGACTTGTCTAAGCAAACAGTGATGGCTGTGTTAACACTTGTCCTTAACATGCAACGTTTGATTTTTCGCATTCCTTCACTGAAATAGCGATCCACTGTCTTACAACCACTCACTTCTTGAACAAGTATCCAGTGAGTACCTGATCCATGCCAGACTCATGAGACACACATTTTAAAGGCAGGAAAGCATTACACACACACACACACACACACACACACACACACACACACACGCGTGCGCGCGCGCGCGCGCAGACACACATACACACAGTAGGCAGAAAATAGAAATGTTTTCTGTTTGGATGAGCGCTGAGAAGCAAGTGAACAGGGGACTACACGTGAAACCAATGGTGTGCAGAACCCACTTGAAGTGGGAAGGGCAGGACGTCCCAGACAGGAGAAGTAACCCATGCAAATGTCCTAATTTGTGTGGGCTTAGTCGAAGCACAAAACCAAAAGACAACTGGTATACCAGCAGGCAGTCATCAGGCACTGCTGTGGAAAACAGCTGTGTAGGCGGGCAGGGGCTTGCTGTGTAAAGCCAAATAGATCAGTAAAATAAATTTGGAGTTCGTCTAAGATGAAGACACCCTTTGGAAAACATTTAGGCTCAGAAGGAGGGTCGTGGTGAGGTCAACGATGACTACAAAGAGCCTGCCTGTGATGCTCAGGGAGTGCCTATATGTCAAGGCACTTTTCATGAATTAACTTATTTAGCAAACATCTCTAGAGAGGGGTACTGCCTTCACAACTCTCTTACAGAGGAGAAAACAGATACATAGGAAAATCAACTATGGAAATTCATACGGCTAGGAAGTTTCTGTGATGGAAATTGAGGAGAGCCAGACAGGAGTGCCCATAATGCATATCAGAGTTATGGAAGACACTGAATGGACCGTGTGCTGGATAAGGTACGGATATGTGTGAAACAAGACAAGATATACATACCGGTCTCTGCCCTTGTTCCAGGCAGAGTTCCTAAAACCCCTGTAATTTCCTAAGTGATAAGAGCATTTGGAGCATCCTTTATTCTAATCTTTGGCCTTTGACACTGGTTCCTGACACAGCTCCGACTTGGAATTCCCTGGGTGATAGTGTCTTTTGTTGTAACAGGATGACTCTGGGTGGGCTCCTGGATGGCTTCAGAATGGAGACTGAGCCCCAGAAAGCCATGGTCAGAAACTTCAAACTTTAGCCTCCACCCCCCACTCTGCAGGAAGGGGAAAGGGAGTGGAGACTGAGTTAACAATGGACGATGCCTATGGGATGAAGCCTCCATAGAAATCCCACTCATATGGAGTTTTGGGAACTCCTGGGTTGGGGAACAGATTCACATGCCAGGGAGGGTGACACCCCCCCTCCCCGCAACTCCACAGGGGAGAAAGTTCCCAGGTTTAGGAGCGTTGTAAACCTCCCCCATCTACCTCTTCATTGGACTGTTCATCTGTATCCGTTATCACATCCTTTATTATATAATCAACTGGTCCATGCAAGTATTATAACTGTTTCCCTCCGTTCTGTGAGCTGTGATAGCAAATGATGAGCCCCAGGAATGAGGTCATGGGAACCTCCGATTTGCAGCCATGTAGAGAGAAGGTATGGGTGAGCTGGGGACCGACTGCTTGCAACTGGCATCTGAAGTTGGGGGAGGGACAGGTGTTAATGGGACTGCGTCCTGGACCTGTGAAGTCTGTGCTAACCTCAGTTAGGGTCAGAACTGAGTTGGATTGTAGGACACCCAGGTGGTGTCCCAGAGAACAGCTCGGCATCAGGAAGAAAACCCCACACATCTGGTGTCAGGAAGTCTTGACGAGTGCGTGAGCAAAGGAGAAACCCACGAGTGTTTTTCCCAGGCAGTACGGGAGAGGGGAATACAACAATATCCCAGGTTGAAGGAGACCCTGAGAAGAATGAAAGAGCAAGAAACCAAGAAGAAGCACCACGAACCCCACATGAAGTACCCAGAAAGGAGAGGTGATGACTGAAGTTGGGAAGATGAAAGGGGAGGTGACAGAGGGCCGTGGCTGCCTGTCGATAGGCTGTGGATGGGGTAACTCATCTTCTGCAATCTACTATTTAGGAAGATTAAGCAGGGATCATTTTAAAAGTAGTAGGTTGGAGAACAGGAAAGGCCATAGATGGGACTCCATTAAAATACTAAAAATAAAACAAAATGAGTGGATGGCCCAGGGAAGTGGAGATGTATCACAGCCAGAGACATAACAAGACCTGGAAATTGACTTCATTAACCCTGACGACACTAAAGAGAGGGGACGCAGAGGGCACGATGGCAGACTGGGTGGAGATGCCACCCACGGGAACACAGATCGCAGACAGCAGAGCGAACGCGGAAAGACAGGCGATGGGCCCATTTGGGGACACACGGAAGCTGGCTTTTTGGCAAAGCACAAAGGTGACGTGTTGCAAAAGGCGATCGAAGGCAGGCGCAGGACGGAGCTTGAGACAGAAATCAGAACGGAGAGTGGAGTGACATGTGGGTCTCCCGGGTGGACGTGAGAGCCATGCGACCAGTTGATGTACAGATAAGTGGGACTGTATGAAAGCAAGAGACGTGGCCTGAGGCTGGAATGTAGGGAGGGACAGTGTCAGGCAGCAAGGCAAGCGGAGTTGGGAAAGCTAGGAAGGAAAGAGAAAGGCCGTCGAGGAGAACCAGAGAGGTGAGTTTTGGAATTCAAAGACGGAGCAAGTCCCTCAACAGATGGACAGTCAACATGTCCGACTAAAAGAAGAAACCACTTCAGGATGCGGGCTCTGTGCAAGGGTCAGCCCCTGGCGCCAGGGTGGGACTGTGTGACCAACAGCACACGGCAGGAAGGGACGATGTGTCGCCACCGAGATCAATGTGAAAAAGGCTGTGGTTTTCCTCGTAGGATACTTGTCACCCTGTCTATTTCTCCTCACTCGCAGGAAAGCCAGCAGCCAGTGTTGTGTGACCCACCCTAGGGAGTGGCCCACGTGGCAAAGAACAGAAGACGCCTGCTGACAGCCACAGAAGTGATGCTCGGTGACATCTGCATAAAACTACAACCCCTTTGTACACCTGGGCTGCACCCTAAGCCAGAACCGCTGCGCTACGTGACTCTTGAATGCCTAACAAAAATTGTATGAGATAATACATAGTTCTACTATTAAGCTACGTTTTCAGGTAACTTTTATGCAGTGACAGACAAATAAGGAGCTGTCCCGAGGGACACAGTGGAAAGTAAGTCCATATTCCCAGGGTCCGTGTTTTTACCGGTGGAACGTATGATGGGCATTCTTGTAGGACTGGTAGTTTCTTG